GGGGGGGGGGCGGATACTAAACCAATTACACTTTTATTCCCAAGGGTAAGTGTAAGTATACGTGGTTTAGCCTGCGAGCAAGCTCTCTGGAGCGCTCTGGCGGCGGGGTGGGAAAAGGAAGGAGAGCTTTGGAATTTGAATGTCTGCATCAAAAAAGTCTATGCGAAATGCTGATTGGCGGAGATGACATTAGTAATGACGTTATTACGCTCGGCAGGTGTTTTTTAATGCTTGTTTACATTCGCACTCGTTTCCGCTTCGCGCTGATTGGCGGAAATCTGACAGCTCAATCGACGGGGAGCCACAGGGGAATTGAAGGTGGAATTCAAATTCCAGAGACGTAGTTACAAGCTCTCTTCCTTTTCCCGCCCCGCCGCCAGAGCGCCCAGGAGAGCTTGTTTGCAGGCTATACGTGGTTGTAATGGGCAGGAATAGATAGACTGTTACGGAGACAGCATGGCCGAGTGGTTAGCGCGTCGGACTCCGGTGGTTCCGGGTTCGAGTCCCGCTCCAATCACTAGCTGGATTTATTACTTGTTCATCCCAATTCCAAATCCTCCGTCAAGCTTATACAGTCAACTCTTGCCTTGCGGAAACCCCTCTATAACGGACACCCCAATAATACGGACAGCAGCTAAGTCCCAGCAAGAATACATTAGAGATGTTTGACTAGAAAAAACTCCCGCTATTACTGACTCTCGATAATGAGGACACTAACTCAAGGTGTTTACAGTGTCCTCTATAAAGGGAGTTGACTATATTTGATTATTATGTGAGTGTTGTGCCTGTAAGCTATCTGGTAATCTAAGAGCACTTCCACTATAAACAAACCTTTTCCTGACTGTCCGCCAAGCCGGGACAAGCGAAGTTGCCGTTAGTAAAAGTTCGACCGTATTCTATCCTGTCTTGTCACCGGAACAAATAATACTTAGCAAAGAACTCAGCCTAAGCTTCACAACATTCTTGAGAATAACTTTGGTTATCAATTGTTCTCCAACAGGTTGTACTACAAAGACAAAGACATTCTTTGCCGTCGACCTATTGAACCGTTAACAGATGAAGAGAGGAACAATCATCTTTTTCCTGCGGTGGACATTTGCAGCTAACATTTGTTTACGCGTGTATTAAATATATCTTCGGTATGCTTTCAATTGTCCTTGTAACCTCAGAACTGAGCTCAAAATAATTGGCGGTATCACCTCTCTTCGAAATTGGCAAAAGCTTAATCTTAAAAGAATTTAAAATTTTCTACTAAAAAATGTAAAATGAAACAAGCAGCTTACAAATAGCGCTTCGCTTAAAGTATTGCTCAAAAGCTTTTATTGCGTTTTTCCCACCTCGCGATTTTCTCCGTAGAGTGGAAAGTTCAACCGCCCTGTACAGCATAATTAACAGTGCCTCAGGAAATTCAATCGTTACAGTAAAAAAAAAAGTCACATTTTAAAAAAACACACAGAGTTTTTATGTTCTATAACTAATTTATTTCGCAGAATCTGAAGATGCCTCAACACTAAAGGCGCTCAAAGGACGTCAAAACGTTCAGACTTTTTGTCATAAATTTATTTCAAATGATCTCTGTATATGTACAAACGAAAGTTTTAAACAATTATTTCCATGGCAATTTAATTACTCTTAATACCACATGTGCAGCTTTTTTCATTAATGACAATCTACCCTCGGTTTGAAATACGTATTATGGATACGGCAAATTTTAAGTATAGTGCCTTGAATAAAAATTATCAGGGCGTACAGCAAGGCTGTCAATAAAAATACCTTAAAACTAAAGATTTACTTGTCTTTTCTTTGTACAATTGAAGCGTTTTCAGTTGATCTTTGAAGTTGATTTCGATTGCCTGATATTGCATCAAATTAAAACCTGCATTTGGGAATCCCCGTATTAAATGGAAGGTTTCACGGTTCAGCGCATGCTCATTAATCAAAATGCGTTTTTTTCTCCTTAAACAAGCTGTATCGTCTGTGCAAGCAATATGATCATGTCATAATGATGTCAAAGAACCAATCTGCACACTTCCCTGGTAGTCACTTGATCAACTTATGCGCAAACAGCTGTAAATTCATTAACCATGGAATAAAACCTTCGGGTCAACAGTAAATTCAACGTTAGCAGTGTTGGTTTTTTCTTCGATTTTAGTACACCTCCATGCAAATTCAGGTCACTCTGAAATACACTTCTACTTTGAAATACACTCTGAGAACGCTGAGATACATGTGAGTGGGATTATTAAACGATGGAATTAATAATAAATTCGAAAAAAGTAATTTAATTGATGCGCATGCACTGAACCGTGAACCTGTCCCTTTAAAGGTTTCTGGGAAACTGCCCACCTACCCCTTCCCTAAGTTAACATTAACACTTACTTCTCACTTGGGGCAAAATGTTGGGTTAGGGGAGGGGTAGGTGGGCAGTTTCCCACAAACCTAAATTGATCCAACAGTTCTCCTCACTTCTTCACTTCGAACCTTTATCAAGCGGTTGCCAGGGAGGCACCCGCGGTTGTTGGAGTATTAAAAGTATTCAGGTTCCACTCCATTACGTCAGTTTTGTGAAAAAGATTGAAAAATGATTATCAGATTTCTTAATTGCTTTCGTTTACACTTCTACGCTATGTGACTGGCTGGAAAATCTGGCGCCACTTTCATCCAATCAAAAACTTCCTTTTGTTTCTCTGTAAGTTAAACCTGTCCTTCGGCCTGAATTTACGGGCCGCGTTAAAAATGCTTCTTGGGCGGTGTTAAACAGCGTATTTTAATTAGATGAAAATGATAGATTCTAAACTAGGTTCGCCTTTTCAAACGCGTTTCCTGGTCTCCTTGACTTGATGCTATTTTTTGGTTGTGTATGGTTTCGTAGAATTGAATGAGATCGTACAAAAGCAAAAAAATGTATGGTTATTTTTTACGATTATAAATTCTACTTTGTTTATGATCTGATTATAAACGAGGTACGAAAGTGACCCTTTGCATGAGGCTTCTTACAAAATAACTGAGTGCAAAATCCTTTTTAGGACAAATTCCACTAACATAAATTTGTATTCCCCAATAAGGATAATGTGGTCTAGTACCCAAGCGTCCTATCCCAATGTGAGTGCAAAAGCCGTTTCAATAACCCTGCAATTAAGGCAAACGCATAGCTTAAGAATATGGTGGGAAATAACTTTGTAAAACTCTTAGCTTATAGGCGAGTCTTTGCTGACGTCATTGTTTACGTTTTTCCTCATTAGCATACGACTTAACTCATAGAAGCCGTGGTCGTATATACAAACTAAATGCAAAAGTTGAAAGAGCTGATTAAGTCGAGCAATTTGCGCAATTTTCAGCTCTTTGCAAGCAATATTGAAGGAAATATCAGCCATCAAAAAATGCGAAATTGCTGGGTGGAAAAAAAGTCAATAATGAGCCATACATTCTCTGTAAAATTTCGAGTTTGTAGAAGAGAATTTTATACGACTTAACTCATAGGAGCCGTGGCCTTATATATGAACTAAATACAAAAGTTGAAAGAGCTGATAAGTTCAGCAATTTGTGCAATTTTCAGCTCTTTGCAAGCAACATTGAAGGAAATATCAGCCATCAAAAACTGAGAAATTGCTGGGTGGCAAAAAAGTTAATAATGAGCCATACATTCCCTGTAAAATTTCGAGTTTGTAGAAGAGAATTTCTCCGAAACCATTCGGTGTATTGGGCTCAAATTTTCAGAGGTAACTGAAACTGTTATGTCTTTTCAACATTCAGCGTTTTTATTTGTAGTGATAAGCATATGTTAATGAGGCAAAAAGTGTAAACAAAGATTCGTCTATGCCATTGCAAAAACAATACCAAATGACCAGATACTGTTGTATGGATGGTTAATGCATTTGACATGAAGAAAAAACTTCAGTGAATCTATAAAATCATAAAATGCTTGAGATGAATTTTATCTGGTCAAAAAGAATGCTGAAAAAATTACTTTTTTAAAAAAGTCTTTGTGCCATTGTGGCTTTGCTAGAATTTATATATTTATCCCTCTACAAGCAGACTATCTCAACGTTATTCTTAAAAAAAACTACAAATTTCGGCTAAAAATAAGTTCATTGTTTGTTCATAGAAGTAAAGGATGAAATCTTACCAACTCAGATTTCAAGTCCCATCATGAAATCGATCAAATTAAAATTGGTAACGTCAGCAAATTTTCCTTTTCGCCGGGACGACTGCTGTTCGTAACCTCCTCGGAAATACTTGGGAACTTTTTTAGCAATGAATCCTTCTTACGAAGTAAGACATTTATTTCTTATCCCAGCAACAAGAAGTATTCCATTACTATCTGTGATAGCGTACTCTCGCTTTGCCCAGTTCGTCATCTACTTCGTATTCAGCACCCTGCTGTTTAACACAACAACACAATTTACTGAAAAACGACTTCTTCTCGCCACGTTCTCGGGTCTTATCGGGATAGTCCGGATCGAGGTTATACCGTCGGCTCACATCCCTACGTTGTCCCTTTTTAGATCGCGCTGTGCGTCTTCGCTTTGCTTCTCTAATAATCTCATTCTTCTTCCTTAGAAGAGTTCCTGTACTATGCAACAGATCCACTCCCTCGGGCCTATTTTCTGTTTGTAGGGCGGAAGGGCTCTCTGCTGAGTCTTTCAAATCGATATCACTGTACGGTCGCTGATTATCAGCGCCATACTCGCCAACATCCACTGCCCTCTCCATGTAAAACGGAAAATCGGTCATGGTTTCTGCGTCAGACGTCAGCGGTCTCTCACTCGCCTTTTCTCTCGGTTTAGACAGAGTGAGGAATTTGATTTCATTTTCTTGTTCTCTTACAGTTTCCTCAACACGTCGCGCCTTGTTCATTAACGCTTTTTCACGGAGCTGTGAGCTCTCCAGGCAAGCCTCGAAATCTTTCTCTCTTTCTAAGGCGTCGCTGAGTTCATCTAGAGCCTCTGTGAGATCACTTTCTAAAACGATTATCTTCTGCTTGAAGTCCTCTGTTACTCTCTGTATCAAGTAAAATGAGACAATTGTTACAACTGCCCACAGTCAAGAGCAAGTTAGTTTAGGATGTGTTCTTGTGCAAAATCTTTTGGCGACACAAAAAAAGAAAAAGAATCAACCTTAGCTTTGAAGTTCCTTTGCTTCGCTATTGTAATAGGCCTTCACCATCTTTGCGCGTGCTTTAGGATCGACGAGATAAAAACGAGAGAGGTTAAGCATCATGTTCACGTCAAACGGCAAAAGTGAATTTGTACAACTTGACCAAATTTCCCCTTAACTTGTCGTTTAATGTCCATTATTTCTAGACTCGAGTAGTTTCACGCAATTTTTTCTCCGAATTGTTTCGAGCTGTTTTTATCTGCTCATTTTCTATTTTGAGAAATTCTCAACCCGAATCTAACGTTTGCCGTTAGCCGTATACGTGAAGCTTAAATTCTCTAGTATTTGCCAATACAAGTTATCGCGGTCGAGTTTGTTTATTCTAACAAAACGAGGTGACGGTTTAATTGTAATACAAATGTACACTTCGAGTTCGTTTGCTGTGAGGTCTACGGTCGATACTGCATCCAAATAAGTAACAAACAACACTTCCACCTATAATTTGCCATTATCGTCTTTAAAAGTGATGAAAAGATGAAAAGTTGTTCATTTTGTGTTGTCTAGAAGAAACAAACTCGAACGCGATTTCCTGCACTTGCAGATTTTATCGCTTGTTTGCCCGCTGAGAAACCACGTGACATTGCTCTATCCCTTCAGTCCTTTAGGGCGAGTAAAGATGGCGGGTATCGTTAATGATTAACAATCAGTGGACGAGGTTGAGCAAAATATCGTGATTTGTTCGTGGCGAGCAGATCAATTATTTGCCGAAGCCGAAGACTGAGGCAAATGACTGATCTGCGAGACACTGACAAATCACGATATTTTGCGATAACCGAGTTCAACCATTGTTTTATCATTAGATCACCGAGTTTGTTTTTTTATTGAATATCTTTGGGAAGCGAAAAGATCTGCCATTTTCACGCAAGAACGATCGCAAAATGAATGAGATCGTACAAAAGCAAAAAAATGTATGGTTATTTTTTACGATTATAAATTCTACTTTGTTTATGATCTGATTATAAACGAGGTACGAAAGTGACCCTTTGCATGAGGCTTCTTACAAAATAACTGAGTGCAAAATCCTTTTTAGGACAAATTCCACTAACATAAATTTGTATTCCCCAATAAGGATAATGTGGTCTAGTACCCAAGCGTCCTATCCCAATGTGAGTGCAAAAGCCGTTTCAATAACCCTGCAATTAAGGCAAACGCATAGCTTAAGAATATGGTGGGAAATAACTTTGTAAAACTCTTAGCTTATAGGCGAGTCTTTGCTGACGTCATTGTTTACGTTTTTCCTCATTAGCATACGACTTAACTCATAGAAGCCGTGGTCGTATATACAAACTAAATGCAAAAGTTGAAAGAGCTGATTAAGTCGAGCAATTTGCGCAATTTTCAGCTCTTTGCAAGCAATATTGAAGGAAATATCAGCCATCAAAAAATGCGAAATTGCTGGGTGGAAAAAAAGTCAATAATGAGCCATACATTCTCTGTAAAATTTCGAGTTTGTAGAAGAGAATTTTATACGACTTAACTCATAGGAGCCGTGGCCTTATATATGAACTAAATACAAAAGTTGAAAGAGCTGATAAGTTCAGCAATTTGTGCAATTTTCAGCTCTTTGCAAGCAACATTGAAGGAAATATCAGCCATCAAAAACTGAGAAATTGCTGGGTGGCAAAAAAGTTAATAATGAGCCATACATTCCCTGTAAAATTTCGAGTTTGTAGAAGAGAATTTCTCCGAAACCATTCGGTGTATTGGGCTCAAATTTTCAGAGGTAACTGAAACTGTTATGTCTTTTCAACATTCAGCGTTTTTATTTGTAGTGATAAGCATATGTTAATGAGGCAAAAAGTGTAAACAAAGATTCGTCTATGCCATTGCAAAAACAATACCAAATGACCAGATACTGTTGTATGGATGGTTAATGCATTTGACATGAAGAAAAAACTTCAGTGAATCTATAAAATCATAAAATGCTTGAGATGAATTTTATCTGGTCAAAAAGAATGCTGAAAAAATTACTTTTTTAAAAAAGTCTTTGTGCCATTGTGGCTTTGCTAGAATTTATATATTTATCCCTCTACAAGCAGACTATCTCAACGTTATTCTTAAAAAAAACTACAAATTTCGGCTAAAAATAAGTTCATTGTTTGTTCATAGAAGTAAAGGATGAAATCTTACCAACTCAGATTTCAAGTCCCATCATGAAATCGATCAAATTAAAATTGGTAACGTCAGCAAATTTTCCTTTTCGCCGGGACGACTGCTGTTCGTAACCTCCTCGGAAATACTTGGGAACTTTTTTAGCAATGAATCCTTCTTACGAAGTAAGACATTTATTTCTTATCCCAGCAACAAGAAGTATTCCATTACTATCTGTGATAGCGTACTCTCGCTTTGCCCAGTTCGTCATCTACTTCGTATTCAGCACCCTGCTGTTTAACACAACAACACAATTTACTGAAAAACGACTTCTTCTCGCCACGTTCTCGGGTCTTATCGGGATAGTCCGGATCGAGGTTATACCGTCGGCTCACATCCCTACGTTGTCCCTTTTTAGATCGCGCTGTGCGTCTTCGCTTTGCTTCTCTAATAATCTCATTCTTCTTCCTTAGAAGAGTTCCTGTACTATGCAACAGATCCACTCCCTCGGGCCTATTCTCTGTTTGTAGGGCGGATGGGCTCTCTGCTGAGTCTTTCAAATCGATATCACTGTAAGGTCGCTGATTATCAGCGCCATACTCGCCAACATCCACCGCCCTCTCCATGTAAAACGGAAAATCGGTCATGGTTTCTGCGTCAGACGTCAGCGGTCTCTCACTCGCCTTTTCTCTCGGTTTAGACAGAGTGAGGAATTTGATTTCGTTTTCTTGTTCTCTTACAGTTTCCTCAACACGTCGCGCCTTGTTCATTAACGCTTTTTCACGGAGCTGTGAGCTCTCCAGGCAAGCCTCGAAATCTTTCTCTCTTTCTAAGGCGTCGCTGAGTTCATCTAGAGCCTCTGTGAGATCACTTTCCAAAACGATTACCTTCTGCTTGAAGTCCTCTGTTACTCTCTGTATCAAGTAAATTGAGACAGTTGTTACACCTGGCCACAGTAAAGAGCAAGTTTAGGATGCGTGCATGTGCAAAATCTCTTGGCTCCAAAAGAAAAAAAGAAAAAGAATATTTGGTCGTAGATTGCAAACTTCATTCGACTACCTTTGGATTACCTTATAAATCCCTTCCTGCGACAAATGTACGACGCATTCCAGCTGCCATATTTCGGCATTTATGTCAGAGTAAAATAACAACTTATCGGTTAATACTGCATGACAGCATTTTGTCACAATTCAATAACGACGATCTAAAGTCGTACACTAGATAATCACTTGCTCCGCTTTGTCTCATTTAATTATAACCTCTTAAGCTTGTTCATGTTCGTTTGATTCTTTATATTATTATTATTATTATTATTATTATTATTATTATTATTATTATTATTATTATTATTGGAAAAAATCTTATGCTGGCAAAATGGCGCCGACCATAACAGCAGTTTCAGTTTACAAACACTTAGAACTTTTTCAGTAAACTTTCAAAACTTTTTGTAAGTCAACAGCGTATTAGTGATATCTTACACTCTCAACACTGATAGTAGCAACCTTAGCTTTGAATTATTTTTTTCTCCATAAGAATTGTTTTGAGCTGTTTTTATCTGCTCATTTTCTATTTTGAGAAATGCTCAACCTGAATCTAACGTTTGCTGTTAGCCGTATACGTGAAACTTAAATTCTCTAGTATTTGCCAATACAAGTTATCGCGGTCGAGTTTGTTTATTCTAACAAAACGAGGTGACGGTTTAATAGTAATGCAAAATGTACACTTCGAGTTCGTTTGCTGTGAGGTCTACGGTCGATACTGCATCCAAATAAGTAACAAAGAACACTTCCACCCATAATTTGCCATTATCGTCTTTAAAAGTGATGAAAAGATGAAAAGATGAAAAGTTGTTCATTTTCTGTTGTCTAGAAGAAACAAACTCGAACGCGATTTCCCGCACTTGCAAATTTTATCGCTTGTTTGCCAGCTGAGAAAACACGTGACATTGCTCTATCCCTTCAGTCCTTTAGGGCGAGCAAAGATGGCGGGTATCGTTAATGATTAACAATTAGTGGACGAGGTTGAGCAAAATATCGTGATTTGTCTGTGGCGAGCAGATCAATTATGTGCCGAAGCTGAAGACTGAGGCAAATGACTGATCTGCGAGACACTCACAAATCACGATATTTTGCGATAACCGAGTTCAACCATTGTTTTATCATTAGATCACCGAGTTTGTTTTTTTATTGAATATCTTTGGGAAGCGAAAAGATCTGCCATTTTCACGCAAGAACGATCGCAAAAAGGTGAAAAGCGTGGTTTCATTTACGCAGTAGCAAAGTATTATTTGCAACCAAAAAAAGTTGGACGACAATGCGCATGCACTCCCACTCCACAGTGACTCACCTCCCTTTCTTTTTGTTCCATGTAAAGTCTCAGCTTTAAATCGAAGTTTTCTTTCTTCAGTTCTTGAATCAACTGAAAATAAATGATTGCAAAATTGAAAAAAAAGCATCAATTTGCAAAATGAATTCTCAAACTCATTAAATAATAATAATTCATAAAGAAAATTCAAAGGAAATTAATGTTTAATAAGTGTTTGGTAATCAGATGAAAAACATCCTTAATATCTCCTTCAAAAATCATTTTGTTTGAGAAGTAATATCAAGCGATCGACACAGTGTTTCATCACCAGATGAAACACCTCGAATGTCGTCAAAAAATACTCCGCTGCGCGTCGTTTTTCAACTCTCTTCTCCGTGTTTCATCTGGTGATGAAACACTGCGTCTCATGCCTGATATATTACATCAGAGATTCACGCCTTTTTGTTCAACATGGGCGCAGTCTCTAAGTTACTTCGTCGCTATTATTATTATTATCATTATTATTATTTATTAAAAACACAGTTAGCAGAAGTCAGTTCCACTGAATTTGCAATGCCTCGAAAGTTTACAGTGTTGACCAAACTCAAGAAAACACTGGATGAAATAAACCATTATCCATTATTAGTCCATGCAAAGGGGCTGCGTGACTAATAGATAGACTGATAGACGGATAGATACTGACTGTAATATTTGAGTCCCGGGTTCTTGTCTATGTATATCGCACATGTAGTTACTTTTGGTCACGTGTGGTTCTGTGTTACTAGACTGATAGTCTAGTTATCAAATAAATAAGGCGCCTTCTCTTGACTATTGTCAGCGTTGATCTTGATGTATGTTACAGTGAAAATGCTCGATCTCCCCAAAAAAGTCACTAAAATGCTCGGAAAATGCTCATTATACAAACGGTTTTTTAAAATTAATTTCAAAGTTTTCACTTACAAAAACGTGCAAGTGTTGCAAGTAACAACAACAACGTGTACAAGTTCATAAAAACAGCCAAAAAAACCCAGCTGTATTAGGTTTTTTGTGAATTTTGAGTTTTAGTGTTCATTTTCTTTAGAAACGCAGGAGCTCTTGGGGCATGGGCTCCTGAAAAAAGTTGATTTCTATTTAATTTTCTCGGAAAAATTAATTTTCCGGGGAAAATGCCACTGAAATGCTCGAATAATGCTCAATGCTTTTGCCTCACTAAAATGCTCGAAAAAATGCTAGCATAATGCACAAAAGCCTAGCCGAATGTTGGATTCAACTGTACGTCTCTTGATGATCGTAGATCACGTGACCCGTGACTTCAACTGATTTCACCGCAGAGGAATTAGGGAAAATAGCTGCTTGTAAACTAATGGAAAACTGAGCACGTTTGTTATTTTATAGAGTTTTGTGTTCTTGTCCAAACGACATCGTAGATTTTGTATGAAATTTTCACTATTCACGTGTGATCTGGGGACAATGATGACTTCTGCTAAAGAGTGTCGCCATTATAATGACAGAGAAACCTTTATTTTAGCATTAAGGTTATTCAAGTTTATCAAATTTATCGTCAACATTACAAAAGAAGAAAATTTGCATACTGCTCCGTCGCTTGATAAGCAGTGCTAATCTAGGCGGCTAGAGCAAATCTAGTCCTTTGAAACAAAGGTATTATTTTAATATTAAATGAATATAAAATTAAATTTTGTCGGGGTAGATATAAATAAATAATAAATACAGAATTTGTTTACGAGAAATTGTATGCAGTAATTAAATTTAAAACCTAGTACAATTAGAAGAGAAAAAAGAAATTTCATCTACATTAGTGAACAGTTATCACGTGCTCTTAGAAATGAATTGATCGAGCGTGTTTAGGCATATCCGAGAACAACGATACATTAAGCTTGTTTACAAAAATAAAGTTCACAATAAATTTAGTCACTTTTTTTTCAGTCTCTGAAGCGTGATAGGTACACCAACATCATCATAAAAGCACAGATCATATTTTTAATTCCTAAAAATTAATTGCAGCTCTGGATCTATTTTTACGCCAGGTTGTACAAAAAGAGAAAAAAACGAGACAAAACTTTCGGTTTCTATGAAATTGCAACTTTGCAGTTAGTTATATCTAGATGATGGACAAAAAAAGAGAGACTTCATTGAAACTGGATTGAGCTTTGATCGTTTTCGAACAGTTTGGAGCACATTGCTTTATGTGAGCATGAGCAAACTGAATGAATTTATTCATGAAAATCAATTAAGGAATCTTAAATATGTTATAAACACTTCGCCCTGGATTTCAATAAATTACAAAAGAAAGAACGACATTGAGAAAAGTATGTCATGCATGAAAACTCGCTTAAAAGATGAACCTTTGTTATTATTTTGACTCTAAGAAGAAATGTAATAACATATTCCATAATCAATATTGTTAAGTACGCTCAATTAAGGTTTCTTACAAAGAATAATTGCAACAAAGAGAAGACCCAAAACTGAAGCACAAGATGGCTTGACTTGGAAAATAATGAATTTTTCAATACATGCTATTTCGTTGTTTGACTTTCTTTCAGAACTCTTTTAACTTTTTTGAGGCCTTTGCAGTAAATGATTGAAGCAAAATACAGCTACACGCTTTCTTTAAGGCCTTTTTAATTTTACTTCTTGCATAACAATGAGGTCACTTCGCCTTGCTATGTTGATCAAAGAAATCTTTCCATTTTCTGACCAGAAAATTCTAGAAATAATCAAAGAAATCATTGGACTTTCAAAAATATACTTAGAAATTTGAAGACATTATGTACTGCGATTGAATATTTATAACTTATATTATATTTCCTCGTACGTACTGAGTTATATTATAAACAATAATCAAAATTCAAACATTGCTTTTAAGATACTTACGGCTCAAAGCCTCCAGTTGCTCCACGCTCTTATAGCTCAGCATTTTAGCCTCGCGGTCCTCTGTCACAAGACCAAAAAAAAAACATATTTAAACGTTTCATACTCACATTATTTCAAAAATGATTTTTTAGGGGAAATCAAAACCAATAGACGTCCTCTAGGAATCAATATCGTGGCATAAATGCAAATTATTGAATCATGCTCTAAAAAGCGTGTTGAAACTCATATTGATCTTGCAATTTCCCGCAATAAGTTGCCACTAAAATCTTGTCTGCATCCATGTTTAGGACTTAACGATTTCGAAAGTGATCTAGTGTGGTAATAAGCCGGTAACAAATGAAATCATTCTACTCACAATAAATCTGCGATTTATGAGACCAACACAACTTGCTCACATCACTAAACACACAGTTTGAATCGCGATGATATTTAAGAACTGGCCGAACTATATCATATCTTGTGAAAAGTCGTCAACGCTTCGCCGATTACTCGCTCAACGAATGTCCCGTTCGCCTCAGATTTCGAAACAAATCAGCTGGAAGATCTCAAAGCTCACTAATAGCATTGTGGAATTCCTGAATATTTTCAAAATAAAGCATTACCCTAAAGGAATAATTAAATATCATAATTATTCCCCTCCCTTGCTTGGCCAATCGCGTGCTCGTCAGTTTACGATGTAATTTATAAAGACGACGGAAAATAAAATAGCATTCTGTCATTTCGGGGTTGTTTAAATCTAGCTCATTCTCCGACCCAGCTAGAGCAACCAAACAATCGAGCACGTCTTATGATTTAGGACAAAAAAAATCGCTGGGGTTCATTTTCCGACAATTGTGGACTAATACAGCGCCATCATTCAATAGAATCTATTTTGAGAATATGTGTAGAAAAGGAAAACTATAAATTGCCAGTTTTCGAAGGAACAAGGTAGCAAAATAGTGTTCCCTCTTCATGAAATTGTAAACAAAGGGTTTTTCGACGGAGCACAGGCCAAATTTTATCGTTTTGAATCAAAGCGGAATATAGCTTTTTGCTTCGTATACACTAGGATGAAGAAATAACAGATAAAGACGTAAATTTGCCATGTTTTCGATCGAAGTAAAACGGGGTGAACGTTCGTTTTCGAAAGCTACTGAAATACGACGATACTTAAAATGGGAAACAAGGATTTCGTTTCCTAAAAGTAACGTAAGGATCTAACCGAATGAGAAATCTACTCGATATAAAAATACATTGATACTCATTTCCTATCGTAAGTTGTTCTCAGCTAATTTTAAGAGATGATCAAATGTTTTAAAGTTTCGAAAAGCGATGAAATAACTCTCACCTTTAGAATCTCCCATAATTTACAATCGACAAAATCCTCGAGTATATATAAATTCCAATTTGGCTGGAAAAGATTCGTTCTTGCCAAGCCTAGCCCAACACTGTCTTTGACTATGACGTAATATTGATTCTGTTTTCTCCTCAGAACAAGTTTTGTGCACGCAAATGTGGGATTTTTATTTCTTAATCAATATCGAAACCTCGAGTTTTAATGTATTCGTTTCATATTTTCAAGGAAGTCATGATCATTATGTCACACACAAGAAAAACACAGCCGGAAATATTCCGCCTTATAGTATTTACTGGTGAATTAAATAAGGGAAATAATTCGGGCGATAAGTTACAATGTATCCATTGGGGCTTATTTCTTAGCCACCTTGGTTTGCAATGTGGTTAGCAAAGAAATTATAAATATTATTATTTAAAACACAGCTCACATGCCGGAGTCCAAGCAATTTTAATAATCATTCGAATTTAGAACGTGACACTATGCCAGAAACTCCAGGTGTATTTCAATGGAGCGTAACTCCACTTTTTTACGTGCGAGTATGTTATGAAGTTTCCCAGAGAATTATTTTTGAATATCACTCTTGATTACGATTAAAAGTTGCTTAGTATAACTTTTATTTACAATTACTACTTTTGCGAAATGACTATAACAGGCAGGAATAATTATTTAAAAAATCATTATAAAGCTGCTTTTACAGCTTATAAATAACTATTAATAAACTCGGCAGTTGCACCACACTTTAATTATAAAATTTTTCGACTTTAGAATAAATTCGAAGCATTCTAAGTGATGAACTCTATACAAATATAAGTGCTTTGGGTTTTGTTATTCAAAACTTCGGATTAAGTTAGATTAGAGAGGCTAAATAATTATTCTACGACTTGAAAAGTGCCAAAACAGCAATTGTCATAATACTAGTTTTTATCCACTAAGAGTGAATCAGTTTTACTAAAACTACCTTCTTTGTCTGTAAATGGTCAAGGGATTGTAAATGAAAAATAATTATAACAATAACGTATAAAACTATTAATGAATAATAATTGTTACTTTTTTTAACGAATCAAGTAGTACGTTGTGGCAAAAATAGGATTTTAAGGCTGCATTACATGTGTCCCCTGATCTTATGAAACACTTTGTCTTCTCTTCATCAAAATTAGATCGTGTAGGAGGTCTTTACCAACTATATTTACCTCCAAAATAAACCTGCCCGTTACCAAACGTCTAAATTTGCATATAAGTTTGTTTTCGATTGATATCACGTTGATTTGTTCAAAAGGAGATCGACTAAATGGCTAGAAAAGACAAAAAATGTACATTTACGGCAAAATATTCATTTTACTGCGAACTATATTCTAAGGAATCTCCAAATTGTTAATTTAATATTACGTCCTTAAGTAGATGCAATTCAAAATTCAACAACACAAAAATGGATGCAGTCGCTGTAATAATTAAAACTAAAAATGATTTTCCGGACAGAAATTTAACTTTGACGTAAAATGAGATAAAATGTCGTATTTTCATCACGGCTTCCGCGTTGCAATTCCACTGAAGCGAAACGAGATTCAAACAACTACGTATGTACAGCACACGCTTTTAGTTGCGAACCGAAGTATTTTCGAGAAAAACCGAGTTAAACAGGCGACGGCAGCTGAGGAGAACTTTGGAATTAGATTAAGAAAGAAGAAAGCGGTCAAAACAATCTTTCAGAGTAATGTATTACTGAGATGGTTGTGAAACTAACTCGGTACAGTAAGTACTCGATCGGAAGATCTAGCGCGTGTCCTGAAAAGAGGAATTATATCAAATATCACTCTCAAACAATCATCGGCCGTATTTCCCGGGCAAATATTACACAATATACAATTTACCCTTTCTCATACCTGAAGAAAATGCCATGCGAAAAATATTCAGATCTGCCTCAATGTCAAAATCTCAAGAATTTGATTTCATAATGTTCTGGTCCTCACACGGCTTTTCCCCCCTTTATTCTAACAGTTAAATTGTAAACTAATGCGCGGTTGGCATGAAATATTGATGACGGTTCATACGAATAAATAACCTGTTACGTTCAGCGTTTTTAGCCAATCAGCGCTCGATTTGACAAAGATCCTTTTGTTAACCACACCAGCTGAGTCAGTTCCTCGACGCCATGAGGATTGCTGGGAACTTTGAACGTCACATGGATTATTTCAGTTTCTCAAGAATACAAATAAGCGGAGTCATAATTACCTGGAAATGTTCATTCTAGATCTCCAACTGCGTGCACGTGGTGTTATTAACACAAGCTACATTCAAGTAAATCTTCAATGCAAGAATTTCTTCTCTTTCCGAAATAACAAATACTCCGGACAACCAAAGACACTCTCAATGAAAGTAAAATTAGTCTGCAACTTATAACAACATTGGAAAGCTTAATGCTTCGGTTCAACTTTCTGTGACAATCAAAATGAATTAATGAATGGGAAATATTTATCTTGACTTAGCGTATCTTGGAAACAACGTTATTCGCTTAGCATGTGCTACGGTTAGTATAAATTGCACGTCTACAACTGAAAGCGGATCATCGCTTAACACGCGCGGCCCGTTACTCTCTACTTTCTGTTGAGACGAGCATACCTTAAATGCAATAAAATTACAAACACTGGCTGAGTGGTGAAAAAAGACTTAGTAAAAACGGGGTTGATTCCTAGGTGAATCGCACTCCCGTTATCATACTCTTTTAAGCACTTATAAAACGTGAATCGCACAACGCTCTATTCTATATCACACAAGGGGGATTTGCTGTGAAAATACCCGCTATTCATATCGTTTTATTGTAGGATTTAACATCTACTGGTTTATAGTAAATGTCCTGCTCATACATCAATTAGAAGACTGCTAGTTTAAATCTGTCCACCTCAGTAACATTAGACTTTTGAGGTTTGAATAAACGTTAACGGTTCCGGCTACAATTAGATTCTTCTCTATCACCGAGGTATAATTTTCAAATACAAGAATGCCTGTGTGAAATTGTTCTCATAGACTAAGAAAATCTTCTAAGAAAAAGTCTTTAAGGACCTAACGATGAGAACAATATTATTTTCTTCATTTAATTTGTTGTATTCTCCTTAGGAAAAGAATATTACGTTGCATGGTGATTTCTATCGGTAAATTTTCTTGAAGCATGAGTCACTTACTCCTTCAAAGTAAAGGTGATGAAACTTCTACATCCCAGAATACAAGAAATCAACTAGTATCTTTTCCTTGCTACGCGCAAGCAGACCACAAAGTCATCTGCCTGTTTTAATTACCGCTCAGTTAAACACAACATTGCCACGAAGTCTAAGATTGAGTAACACTTCAATATCAGCATTTTCGTCAAAGGTGATCAGAGTATAGGGGAAAAAATCCCTACTATTACGTTATATTTATTCGTAGAAACCTACCCAGTAGTCCTAGATTTTCCATCAATTCAAAGTGCAGGCATTTCAAAATGTACCTATGTTATCCAAAGACTGGTCAACAGAGATTTCACTGACTTGAAAAGAGAGGACCTGGAAACTACTATCAGCGGTGGGTTGTGGCAAAAATGGACAACTCAAAATGGGTTGTAGTCTTCACTTTATAAATGCATGAAAAAAG